AAACTAGAGTTCAAGTTGTAGTATTATAAATTTGAGTTGTTAGTCTTTTTTCATCTTTTTTTGGCTGGACATTTTCTATTTTTTTTATTAACTATGTAAATTAAGGGTGTACATGGAACGTGTTTGTTCGATTTTTTATCAAAACTAAACCAATTATATCGGTTTGGATTGTTCGATTTTGTTGGATTTTTTGTTACAAAAATATTATTTCAATCTTACTTTGTTAAATTTTTTAGAACTAAATATATGTTCAGTAAAAATTAAAAAATTGACAAACATATGATCTATAAAAATATTCTTATGGGAGAATTTTCTTAGATCATGAGTTGTGTCAAGTAAAATTGGTGACGAAAATGGAGAAGACAAATTGGTGACGAAAATGGAAAAGACCTCAGTAATGGAGGAAATCGGAATAGAGAGAAAGAAAAAGGAAAATAAAAAGAGAAGAAAAAAAAAAGAAGAAAAAAAAGAGAAAGGTAAAGAAAAAAAAGTACTAATAAAAAGGAAATAGTGTTTGTAATACACTTAAATACAATTAACGAAAGAGCTAATTAGTTTGAGTGAATTTCGTTTCGAAAAGTGCATATATGGGCCAACTGTGTAACTCTAAAGGCATATATGGACCAACTATGTGACGGTAAGGGCATATTTGAGCTAAAGTATTAACGAATGGCAAATGTGCTCAATTTCGTATAGTATAAGGACATATTTGGACATTTTCCGTATTTAAAAACTTGATTATCTAATCCATATTTTAGTGGATAATATGGGTGATTAATTATTTTTTTAATTTATTTTGCTACCACTATTTGAAGGTAAAAATGTTGTTTTCAATAGACGCTCTGTTCAAGTAAAATGAAAGAAAAAGTTGCAGTAACAGACAAAGAATAAATTACATTGTCGTTGTACAAAACTTAGAACTCAAGTATAATACATCTAATGAATTCCTCTATCATTTCTCGGAGCGTTGCCATATGATGATATGAATATGAGAAGGGAGTCTGACACAGTGCGTTGCCATCAAAATCAAACTGAGAACCGAAAGTAGGTCACCAACTACTGCAGCCAAAATATTAACCAATGAATAGCTAGCTTTGAAATACCTAAACCTTTCTTGTGATTGGTATTAATTCATTGCATTTGCGCGCCTTCATTGCTATTCCTAAGCTTTTATTTATTAGATTTAAGTAATATATATTGAATGTGCGAAGAATTTTTCATCATCAGTGTACTTTAATCGACTATAACATATTAGTATTATTTTATTTCTAAGCAACTATGTTACACTTATTGTAAGAATGATATGTTATTGTAGGTCAATTGAATACTGTAGTATAAGGATGAAGTTGTTGATCTTGATCCTGAAATATGCTTCCCTTTTGTGGATTTCTCCCCTCTTATTGTGGTAAATAACTTTGAATATGTGCGGGTAAAAAACTGTTGAAGGGTCATAAGAACATATATTTACTCCAAATTGTTGTGGGAGAGTAGCGCATTTGATCCTGATTTTGTGCGACCACTTAAGTTTTTACAAGCTTGCATCATATATATATATATATATATATATATATATATATATATATATATATATATATATATATATATATATATATATATATATATATATATATATTGATACGCCTTGAGATTAATAGGGTGAAATGAAATAGTCTTGATCGGGTTGTTAATTGGGATGTTGAATCTCATCCTATCATGTTGAGAGTGAGTTCTAATTTTCTATAGAACAAGAAGTCACATTTTGTTCAAGTTCATCATTATAAGATGCCTAATGGTTTTTAATTACTTGCAAATACTGACTGCAACGTGTCCTTCCGAGCCCTTCACTCTCTCCGGAGGTTGAATAACCATATTTTTGTTTGTTCTCCCCTTTTAAAAGATTTTGTGATCTCTTTTATTACAATTAACAGCTTATTACAATACATGGTCAGGCGAGAAAACCAAAGCTTATTCTCAAAGAACCAGAAAAATAGGATCACTGAGTCAATGTTTCAATAGCTATTAAGTAAAATATTCCATTAATTTAGAGTGCATTTTGATGTGAATGTTCATTAATTGCTTTTGTTAGTGTGTCATTCTCAGATTTTTCTTTCTTTAGTTTAATTCAAAGATTTTGTTTACTATGCAAATGGTATTGAACTTAGTCCTTATTTTTGAAAGCTTTCAATTGTAATAGGAGTAACCCTCCTTGATGTATGTTTCATTTTTATTTATGTCAATCCGTAAGAATGGCTTGTCCATTCTAGCTATGAGAAGAAGAGGTTTGGTTGATGCCCCCTCTTTATTAAAAAAAATAAAAAAAAATGCATGTTGGACAGATTGAAAAAAAAAATGCAAATGGTATTGAAATATCCAATGTCATGCTTTATTTGGGTTTGCATTATTTTTCGTGTTCCCCTGATGCATCCATTAAACAAGGGGACAAACATTTTTCGTTTTCACAACTTGATTTTGATAGCTATAATTCGATTTCTTTTCTTCAAATGGTCGAACTCTCACAAATAATTCAATATTCAGGGGTGACAGTCACAATAGTTCTGGCAGAATAAGCTAGAAAATGACATTTCCAAATGTTCCGGATGAGTTTGTGCGAAACTAGTTACTTAAGTGGTTAAGAAGGGTTCCGACAATCAAGACCGGATAAATGAGGTTGAAACTGTAATTTGACGACGCATATTGAATTTCACTTGACTGCCTACGGTTCCATTACGTGTGCTCGGGGTAGAAGTTTTGTATAAATGTATCATCATGCTATTAAGTATTTTTATTTAAGTTCTTTTTTTTCTAAGAGGTGGAATAGAATTTGTGCTGATGAATTTGTGATATTTTTCCGTGGAATATATATATTGGACCTGTCAAACTTTCTCTTTTTTGTTCCCCTTTTTTCTTGTATTTGCTTATGTCGGCACTGCTAAATGTTCCACTCTGCATCAGTGGCTTGGTAAGTAAATTTGCATTACTTATTCATACTATATAGATTTGTTTAATTTCTAAGACACGCTGATCAAACATCGTGAACATCTTGATAAAAACATTAGCAAGATAGCTACATGTTCTGATTTTAGTTGTAGCTTCTTCGTTACTCGTATAATCATCTCGATAAAAATATTGCTTGCTCCTCCCTCTGCGATCACTTGAGATTGATAGCGTGAAACGAAATAGTCTTGGTCGGGTTCTTAATTGGGATATTGAATCTCAGCCTATCAAGTTGAGAGTGAATTTTATCTTTCTATAGAGCAAGAAGTTGCGTTTTGTTCAATTTCACTTGTCACAACCCGAAATTCCCACCTTTGAGACCGTGATGATACCTAACATTTCACTTGCTAGGCAATCCAGCGTTAGAATAATTTTAGTCATTTTTAACAGTTCAGTTTAAATGGTAATAAAGAAACCAATTATCTGGAATAATCTGAAATAGAAATTGCTTACAATCCCAAAACCGATAGTACAAGTCACAAGCTCTACAAAGTTTATTAGAAAACCTCTAAATATAATTGTTCCAGAGTAGAATCAACAGTGCAAGAAAATATTATAAGGTGACTCCGAAGTGTTCGAATGCGACAGAAGGTATACCTTGAGTCTCCACAACAATGCTCGATCAACTAATAAGAATATCAATAACTCCGAGGTACCTAGATTTGCACAAAAAGATGTAAGCGTAGCATGAGTACACCATAGCGGTACTCAGTTAATATCAAGCCTAACCTCGGTAGAGTAGTGACGAGGCCATGTCAAGACACCTACCAGATATATAAAGTTGTACAATATGTTAAATGAATATAACAAGGAAAGAGTATCAATGTAAGGCCAATAATAGAAGAATTTTCAATACAAATCAACAATGAAAATAATAAGAACACGGATGGCATCGAGCAAACAATCAAGCAATTGAGCAATAACATAGTCAGAGTACAAATATAATATAAAAATGGCACGGCATCACCCTTCATGCTTTTACTCTCGTCCTTACTATGAAATGATGAATAATTTAAACACAATTAAACACAATTCCAACTTGAACATAGTAAAGCGTCAAATGAGTTATTAAGCCAATTTAGGATTTAAATAAGGTAAAAATAGTGGAGAGGTTGTACAAATAGAATATCAAATGAGTTTAGTTTATAAATACATGAGATCTAATATAATATGTGTAACGACCCGACCAGTCGTTTTGAGAATTTGCACTTCGCTCATTAGTTTAGGGCGTGAGTAGCTCCGTATGATGTAATATGACTTATGTGAATCGTCGGTTTTGGTTTTCAGGTTATTCGGAATTGATTTGAAAGAATGATTCTCAGCTAGAAGCTTTAAATTGGAAAGAGTCGACCAAGTTTGACTTTTTAGTATTTGACCTCGGATTGAAATTTTGATGGTTCTGTTAGCTCCGTTGGGTGATCTTGGACTTAGGAGCGCGTCCGGATTGTGATTTGAAGGTCCGTGGTTGAATTTGGCTCGAAATGGCGAAAGTTGAAATTTTGGAAAGTTTGATCGGGAGTGAACTTTTTGATATCGGGGTCGGATTCCGATTTCGAAAGTTGGAGCAGGTCTGTAATGTCAAATGTGACTTGTGTGCAAAATTTGAGGTCAATCGGACGTGATTTGATAGGTTTCGGCATCGGTTATGGAAGTTTGAAGTTTCAAAGTTTAATGAATCTGAATTGAGGTGTGATTCATCGTTCCGATATTGTTATGTGTGTTTTGAAGTCTCGAGTAGGTCCGTGTTATGTTATGGGACATGTTGATATATTTGGACGGGGTCCCGAGAGGCTCGGGCGTATTTCGATTGATTTCAGATCATTTTTCTTCATTTTAGTATAGCTGTGTTCTGCTGTTTTCTGGTGTCTCAGTTCTTCATCGCATTTGCGTGGCAAGTGCCGCGAATGCGTAGTGTATTTTGATGGTAGCAGCAAATTGTTCTTCGCGATCGCAAAGTATGTCCCGCGTTCGCATAGAGTTGGGGCAAGTCCTCTTCGCGTTCACGTATGGAAGATCGCGTTCGCGAAGTGTTGAGGTTGGCAGTTGGGAATTTGAGCGTTCTTCTATGCGATCGCGTAAGGTTAGTCGCATTCGCGAAGCTTTGGCAGCAGTGTTCATCACGTTCACATGGGGTGTATCGCGAACGCGTAGAGTATTTTTGTGGCAGTGTGAGTTTTATTCATCGCGAACGCGATGGATCTCCCGTGTTCGCGAAAGAGGAGGCCTCGGCAGATTATAAAGTACTCTATTTCGAAGGTTTCAGCCATTTTTACATTTTTAGAGCTATGGAGCTCGGATTTAGGCGATTCTTGAAGTAATTTTCACCATATGAATTGAGGTAATTATTCTTTACTCGGTTTTGGTTATATTCCATGAATCTATTTTCGATTTTAGCTTTTGGTTGATGAATTTTAAAGAGGAAATTTAGGGTTTTGGCCTAAAGTTTCATAATATGAATTTTTGAGTTTTGAACATCGAATTGGGGTCGGATTTGAGTAAAACTAGTATGGTTAGATTCGTAATTTAATGTGTTGTTGGAGTTTGTAAATTTTGTCGGGTTTCGAGGTGTGGACCCGGGTTGGATTTTTGGCCAGTTTTGGGCTTTTTGATTTAAGATTTGATCTTTTTCGATGAGGATTAGTTCCTTTAGCATTGTTTGATGTACTTGAGTTGTTTTTGGTTAGTTTTGGGCCGTTCGGAGGTCGGAACGTGCGGGATGGCATCTTCGGAGCATCGTTTGGCTTGCTCGGCATTGTTATTGGCTTGTTCGAGGTAAGTAACTCTTCTAATCTTAGTGTTGAGGGTATGAAACCCCGAATTACGTGTTATGTGATCGGTATTGAGGTGACACGCGTGCTAGGTGACAGACGTGTGGGCGTGCACCATGTGAATTGAGACTCTGTTGTTCCCATGGCATCGTATAGTGGTCCTACTTTGTTGATATCCGTGTTTTCACTATGTGATAAAGTAGTTAAGCTATCAATCATGCTAAATATCATGATTAGGCTTTATGCTAATATTGTTAGGACCTATAGTGGTCGTTTCTTGCTGTCGTCTCACTGATTTCATTGATATATTGTACTCAATCATATTCATGCATTCATATCATATCTCAGTCTCAGTTGTTGTTTATTGATACATCATATCATTTTTGTCGGGCTAGTATCATGGCATTGTGAGCCCATGAGTAAAACTGGAGAGATTGATGACTGAGTGAGGCCGAGGGCCTGAGTGAGAGTGACATTCTGGGATCGGGCTGCACGCCGCAGCATATGATATTGATTATATTTTATATTTATCGGGTTGCACGCCGCAACAAGACTTCGGGATATATATATATATATATATATATTATTGGATCGGATTCCACGCCGCAACAATATTGGATCGGGTTGCACGCCGTAACAATGTTGGATTGGGTTGCACACCGCAACAATATAGGATCGGGCTGCATGNATATATATATATATATATATATATGTGTGTGTGTGTGTGTGTGTGTGTGTGTGTGTGTGGATCGGGCTGCACGCCGTAGCGGGTATTGTACAGCGTTGAGTGATTGTGTGTGATGAGCATTGAGCATAGTGAGAGAGGATGCGAGACAGTGATATTGAGTACTCTGAGAGTGTGAGTACATGAGCTCATCATCGAGATACATTGCATTTGACATAGGTACTTAAGATACATGCATAAAGGTGCATTTCTTTCCGCTACCCAGTTTTGGGAACATTTGTGATATTACCTGTATCTTGACATGTAGGCATAGAGAAGTACTTTCTTTATGCTATCTGAAAATGAAACATCTTACTATTTGTTGAAAAGAGTTTTGGTAAAAATCACAATTTACAAACTTACTCGTATTTTGGCTTTTTCGGTAAAATATTTAGATTTTTACTGAGATATTTGAAAAGAAATGCCTATTTTTCTGAAAATGTGAACGGACTGAGCCTTTAATTCTGAGATACCCTTTTGTTATTGTACTATGTTGTTATGAACTGTTGTGAAATATTGGTGTTGGACCCGACCTTTCTGTTAGCTCGTCACTACTTTCAACCTAAGGTTAGGTTTGGTACTTATTGAGTATATGGGGTCGGTTGTACTCATACTATACTTCTGCACCTTGTATGCAGATGTTGGCTGCTGATGTTGCTGTGTTCGATGGGAGCTGGATTGAAGATGTACCTGCATCTCGGCTGTAGCTGCCTCTTGTTTGTGGTAGCTTTAGATCTGTAAAACTTTGTTTATGTACTATTCAAACAGACTATGTATTTGTTTCATTTCCACTTTGTAAACTCTATTCTTAGAAGCTCGTGATTTGTACTACCAGTTATTCGGAAATGTATAAGATTCAAATTATTTCTTTTGATTAATTATCCTATTAAATATTATTGAAATTGGATAGTTATTAGTTGGCTTACCTAGCGGGTTGGGTTAGGTGCCATCACTACTAGTGAATTTTAGGTTGTGACAATATTGTATTTATACAAATTTAGACATTCAATCAAATTTTAACGGTATAAATATGGAATTTATTAAAGTAAAACGTAATAATAATTTTTCACATAAATTATACGACAATAAGATAATGAGGAAGTTGAGGTATCAATTAGAGTAAAAATATAATCACCATTTAAATTAGTAGATCTTTGAATAAGATATGAGTTTTATTTTTTGAAAGACACACAAGTGGAACAGCTTGAAAATTCTTTCATTTACCTATGCTAAATTCTTAGCAACTTAACCTATCACATAGTATGCATGACTCACTCAAGAAGTCCATATTGTTCTATTTTTAATATATTGACGGTTAATTAATTATAATCAAAATACAATGAGGTGATTTAAGAAACCACATTAACCGTCCTAGAATGAAATGCATCGTGAGAATCACAATCGGAATTAACCTTAATATCACAATAATTTTATATTTGTACATTTGTTGCGGCATGCAACCCGATCCCATAAAAAATAAATCATATATGTTACGGCGTGCTATCCGATCCCACACAATGATAATCATATCTGTTGCGGCGTGCAACCCGATCACTCACAATAATAAATCATATCTGTTGCGGCGTGCAACCCGATCCCTCTCAATATTAAATCATATATGTTGCAGCGTGCAACCCAATCCCTCTCAATATTAAATCATATTTATTGCGGCGTGCAACGATCCCTCTCAATATTAAATCATATCTGTTGCGGCGTGCAACCCGATCCCTCTCAATATTAAATCATATCTGTTACGGCGTGCAACCCGATCCCTCTCAATATTAAATCATATCGGTTGCGGGGTGCAACCCGATCCCTCTCAATATTAATCAACCAATTTACAACCAACTACTTGTCACGACCCAAAATCCTAACCTGTCGTGATGGCGCCTAATGTGGTACTAGGCAAGCCGATTTCTCCCAAATATTTCCAACACTTTTAGCAAGAATGAATTTAAAGTAGTTTTAGTAGTAAAAGTTCGCATAACTGGGATAGAAAACCCAAAATAAAATATGGAATTTCCAACTATCGGGGTGTCACAGAGTACATGAGCATCTATACATCACAAGTCTATGAAACACGGTCTATAATAGTTTGAGATCAAATACAATAATCGAGAAGATAAGGAAGGAGAGACAAGGTTTGCGAAATACCGATAGCTACCTCAGAATCTCCGGATAATCAACTGTGCGAAGAAATCAACACCCACTGTGTCCGGGAACACCTAAATCTGCACACGAAGTGCAGGGTGTAGTATGAGTACAACCAATTCAGCAAGTAACAATACTAAATAAAGGACTAAAAGTAGTGACGATCTTCACAACTGAGTCCAATTACAGTAATTTTCAACATAACAAGGTAGGCATGCTTTCAAGTTCAACATTTAATGCCAAAATAGTAATTTCATGTCAAGTTCAACTGAAACAAAAGATAATATCTCTCAAAAATTTTCAAAACATTGGTATAAGACTGCTGAAGTGCAACAATAATAAAATCAAATGCATCCTCTCAGGACCACAGTCACTCAGCCATTCCATTCACTCAACACTCGCACTCAATAGGTACCTGCGCTCACTGGGGATGTGTACAGACTCCGTAGGGGCTCCTTCAGCCCAAGCGCTATAATCCGCACTGATAACTCACGTGCTTCATGGACAACTCACGTGCTATAGAATCATTATCTGGATCTGCACTAATAACTCACGTGCTGCACTGACAACTTACGTGCTATAGTATAATATCTGGATCCGCACGGACAACTCACGTGTTGCACGGACCAACTCACGTGATATAGTATAATATATGAATCCGCACGGACAACTCACGTGCTGCACGGACAACTTGCGTGCTATAGTATAATATCTCACAATCAGTCCCTCGGCCTCACTCAGTCATAAATCTCTCCAGGCTCTCGGGCTCTCAATAATCATGAAAATCAGCCCAAATAACAATGATATGATGCATCAATAATGAACAATAGAGACTGAGATAAAATAAATAAGTAAACTGTGACTGAGTACAAAACAATAATTTAGTAGATAGTTCAACATGTACACGACCTATGTGGGTCCCTACAATGCCAACACGTAGTCTAAACATGATTTGGGGTTAAATTTTTCTAATACATGGAAAATGTACAGATAACAACAGATTATTCAACTACACAGTTCCATGAAATTTGACCAGGTCACAATTCCTACGGTGCACGCCCACACGCCCGTCACCTAGCATGTTGGTCACCTCAAAACCGATAACATAACACAAAATCCGGGGTTTCATACCCTCAGGACCAAATTTAGAACTGTTACTTACCTCAAACGAGAAAATCTCTACTCCAACACACCCTTGCCTCGCGAAACGGCCACTGAATGCCTCGAATCTAGCCATAAACAATGCGATATAATCAATACGGGCTAAAGGAATCAACTCCATAAGAAAATGCTATGTTATTAATCAAAATAAAAATCGGCTCAAAAGTCGACCCCGGGCCCACATCTCAAATTTTGATAAAAGTCACAAAACCCGAAAGCCCTCTCAACCATGAGTCTAACCATATCAAATATACCAAACTCCGACACCAAATCGTCCCCCAAATTCCCAAATCAAACTCTCCAAATTCCTAGCCTCAAACTCCCAATATACACCTTAAACACACACCAACTAGGTGGAAAAATCAATGGGGAAGCAATATTATTGATCAAAGATAAGCACAAGGGACTTACTTCAAGAATCCCCTCGAAAACCCTC